CAAGTAGTGAAAGTTTGACTTCTTCCTTGCCAATTTGTATCCCTTTGATCTCCTTTTGTTGTCTTATTGCTCTAGCTAGAACTTCTAGTACTATATTGAATATATATGTGGAGAGTGGACAGCCTTGTCTTGTTCCTGAATTTAGTGGTATCGCTTTGAGTTTCTCTCCAATATTACTTTTTATAAATGGCAATTATGGTGGTTATAGGTGCATTTGTTCCATTAAATATTTATAGCTCTGCATCACGCATGTACAACCAGCACTTAGGAGGCTGAGGCAAAAAGACTGGAGTTGAAAGTCAATGTGAAATAAAAAGCAAGTCCCTGGGTGGCTAAGGCCATGTAGAGAAACTTTATCTAAAAGAAAAAAAACCCAAAAGTATAAAACATGTTTATAAGAAAAAAAATTTACATATCCTCAAATTCAGGAAACTAGAGAATCAATATCAGACTAAACATAGAGAAACTGCTGATAAAAATAATGAAGATACATGCAAAATTGAATGCCTACAAAATAGGACTAGTGAAATTTTGCAGTGGGTAGTTGTTATTAGAGACTCCTAATTGGTCAAATTATTGAGTACAAATAACTCTGAGTGTTCAGTTGTGAATGGGTCGTTCATCTATATTAAGTTTCCTTTACCTAAGGCCTAGGGAAATTAATGAAAGAAGGGGAAGAAAGAGTGTAAGAGTTGGCAGACAGGAAGGAGAGATGAGTTCTGGACATGACATGGCTGTTGCACTTGTCAGCTCATCCCATTTCTGGATACCTGCACAGTGCCAGCCAAAATTTCTGCATAGATGGGGAGGGGCCCATGAAATTCCATCCTTATTGAAGGAGCTATTTGCAATTGATGAGTGTTGAGAGAAAGTCACTCTCCTTTCTGGATGTGGCTACTTGTTGGTCATTTATGCCCCAGTATATGTCCACAAAGTCACATGCCTATGGGCAGCACTAACTGGATTAAATGTGTTATTAATAACAATACATAAAAGAGGACATGAATTTGGGAGGGAGTTAGTTTGGGGAACAGTACAGAAAGTTGAAGGGAGGCTGGCTGCCTGCATATGACTAATAAGTATTCTATACATGTATTAAACTTGCAAAGAATAAAAATATTGTTAAAATAATAATTTATATAAATAAATGTATACATATTCCAACTAAAAATGAAATAATCAGAAAAATGTTATAAGTAAACTAAAAAGACAAGAATCTTTTTGTATAAAGGATTTACTATCAATAATGGAATATTATAACTACATATTATCAATATGACAACATGATAAATGAAGGAAAATGAAGAGTCTTCCCAAAGAATTTCTAGTAATAAACTGATAGGAATTTTTTTCTTTCATAATTTAATTTAATTTTACATATCAGCCATGGATTCCCCTGTCCTCCCTCCTCCCGCCCCCCAACCCACACCCCCATTCCCATCTCTTCCAGGGCAAGGACTCCCCTGGGGATTCAACAGGAAAAAAGTCTGTTTTTCCCCCCTATGAACTCTCCCCCTCCTCCTTGGAACAATGGAACTGACCACCCTAGGTGTTCTATTCCAAGAACTAGAAAAGAATGTGGGGGTCAGCAGGAAGAAGATGACTCTGACTTCTGCTTCCCCAGCCTGCGGGGACAAGGCTTTTGTCTGAGAAGTGTGGCCTCTGATCAAGTAAGAGAGTCATCTAAGTATTGTTATGTGCCTTGGGGGATAATCTGAATTAAAATGATGACAACCCGAAACCTCAGTGATTCCCCTCAAACTGTAATTCATCTTCCTGGAAAAGAGGTCATGCAGGTCCTACCCTACTCTTGTCTCTGGAGTTCTGAAACACGGTAGCGAGGACCAGCGGCCATTAACTTTACCAAGGCATCTTTCAGGGAATGGCATCTCAGGTGCAAGGTTGTTTGATTCAGGCAGCAGAAGGAGAATTCTTGGAACGTGCTGTGTTACAAACAAGCTCATTGTTAAGATTAGGGAGATTTCATGTTCCATAACTGGTAGGGAAGGGGGCACACACCAGAACTCTGTATGATAGCATGAGTGTATCAGGGAAGCCCCACCCTCACCCCCCAAAATGATATATTACCTCCATTTGTTTCTGGTAGGATAGGGAGATGGTACTTTGTTGCTAGGGTCCTTGCCTGGTAAGGACTTTGTTCATTGTGGGAATCAGATTCTTGGTAACAGCAAGGGCTCTAGAATATCTCCTCTCATGCCCGCACTAGGAGTCCTGAGGTCCCTTGAACAAAGTGGTAGCAGCAAAATGCTCTTTGAATTTTCCTGCGTGCAACTATAGAAGTTTGTAGCATGAACTTCAGAGTAACAGTGACAAGTGGGTATTCAGACTTTACCAACCATGGATATATGGTTGGAAATGTAAACCATGAGCATTTTGACTCTTATTCAGGAGGAACAGCCTGTTTTCTCACTCTAGGAATCCTCAACTGGGCTATCATACAACAGTCTAACAAACTCTAATTTCTTTTGCAAGGTTCTTGGGAATCAAGCTGACCTACAGAACAGGAGTCCTGACCAAGCTGAACAAGAGAGCAGGAACACAGTATGTTGCCCTCCAGGAAAACAGAGACCTTCCTAAAAGCAAAGTATTCTTTACTTTGTGATGATATGGTGCTCACATGTTGTCATTGTATCCCTCCAGGTTCCTGCCTTGCCAGTTCTCCAACTATAGTCCTGACCTTTGTCTTTGACCCCTGCAGTCATGCCTAGGAGCCACAAGAATAAGGGCCACTCCCGTTCCAAACAACGTCGTGGTAATCAGGCACCTGAGGAGAGCCAAGATCTCCAGGGTGCTCAACCTGCTGTTCAGAGAGAATCAGCATGTCCTTCTGTTGGCCAAGCTAATTCCCCAAGCTCTTCTAATGCCCGTGCTCCTCAGGGAGCTGCATTTCCTGCCTCTCCTCATGCAGTTATGTCCTGCATAGGCTCTGATATAGGTACTGGGGGTCGTGATGTCTGTGCTGTTGGGGGAAGTCCACGTACTTTCCAGGCAGAAGCCTTCACTCAGCCAATATGTCGAGATGCTCTTACCAAGAAGGCTAGCATGTTGGTAGAGTTCCTGCTAGAGAAGTTTAAGAAGAATGAGCAGTTTACAGATGCTGATATGCTGAAGGTGGTCAACAAGAAATACAAAACACAGTTTTCTGACATCCTCAGGAAATCTTCCTCCCGAATGGAAATGATCTTTGCAATGCAGTTGAAGAAAATCAATCCCAATAGTCAATCCTATGCTATTGTCAGCAAGCTAGGTCTCTCCACTGCTGAAATTCTAAGTGGCAAGAGGGGGTTGCCAAAGATGGGTCTCCTGATGACCATCTTGGGCCTGATATTCACAAAAGGCAATTGTGCCACTGAGGAAGAGGTCTGGAAATTCCTGAGTGTATTAGGAGTGTATGCAGGGAGGAAGCACTTGATCTTTGGGGAGCCCCGAAGGCTCATAACCAAAGATCTGGTTGAGCAAAATTACCTTGAGATCCGCAAGATGTCTGAGGGTAAATCCCCTAGATATTATTTCCTGTGGGGTTCCCAGGCCCATGTAGAAACCAGCAAAATGAAAGTCCTGGAAGTTTGGGCTAAGATCAATGACACCATTCCTAGCTTCTTCCCCACTCTATATGAAGAAGCTCTTAAAGATCAAATGGAGAGAGCACAGCCAGAATCTCCAGTCTTGGCTTGCACAGCTGTCATGGCCAGTGCTCATCCCAGGTGCATGTCCTGCAGCTCCTCTCACAAATAGCTGCAACTCACTTTCCGTCTGAAAAGGAGTCAACCTTCTATGTAGTGGGGGATTTATGGGTCACAGGAATAAAGCACATATTTTTTTTTCTGTTATACAATGAGTAAATGATATGTGTAATTGCTTTGGTGAGTTGCAGATGTTCCATTAATGGAAAATTAATTTGTTTCACAGCCTTTGTTTCTTGATGTTATGCTTGACACATTTATTGATGCATTTCAATTTTACAACCAAAGAGTTTTGTTACTTTAAAAACCAACTGAAATTTTTCCATAAATTTCTTTTTAGTATTGGATAAGGTAACATGAAATTGTAAAAGTGAGTCCCATGGAAATGTAGTGTCACACATTGGTGAAACAGATACCATGATCAATTCCTAATTGGATGTATGGTTTTGTCTGTTGTTTGTAATATCAATTGACACAAACTTGGATTTGATTACTTTACTCAATGTATGAACTAATAAATTATAAACTTCTGATTCACTCTTTCATTGTGTCATTATTATCTCCAATGCTTATTAGAGTATCTGTTCTTTGGACCCCCAAACCCAATTCAATCAGCACTCAAGAGGAATTTAGAGCCTAGTCATAGCTACAAATAAGGGAGAGGGTGAGATATGACATGAAGACAAGTAAAAAGATAATATAAAAGAACTAGAGATTTCAAACACCAGACTAATGTAAATTATTTGATGAAGTTAGTTTGGAACATTAGGAATTTCCATTTTCAGTGCACAAAACTTTCAGTGACATAGTGGGTTAGGTGAAAATGTGGGGATGGTGATCAAGGTCCACAACCTCAGGTAGCATTATCTTTCAGCAGAGAGACCAACTCTTGAGCATTTATTTAGAACTTTAAAAGTACCAGAAGTAAGTGTCTACCTCTGATAAGAAGGGAAGGAGTCTAAGTGATTGCCCTAGTGCATGTAAATACCATGCAAAAACTACACACACAATGTCCTAGGATTCTCTAACAAGTATAAGCAATACTATTCTGATAAGAGGACCAAGAAACCACTGAGTTGTCTTTACTGGTATGGGCTGGTAGACCCATATTCTATTTTAATAAAAGGACATATTTTGTATTTGTATGTATGCACATATGAATGTGCAAGCATGTGGTACATGCACACACACATGTGCACTCTTGCATTGAGACCAATGAAGAACACTGAATATCCTTTTCCATCACACTCTTTATTTCGTGAGACAGGCTCCGTCACTGAACCTGGAGCTAGGCTAGTAGACAGCGACTTCAATGGATCCTCCTATTTCTTTTTTTAAAAATTTATTTTATAATTGAATTTAATTTTACATATCAGCCACGGATTCCCCTGTCCTCCCTCCTCCAGCCCCCCTGCCCTTCCCCCAGCTCACCGCCCCCCATTCCCATCTCCTCCAGGGCAAGGACTTCCCTGGGGATTCACCTCAGCCTGGTAGATTCAACTGAGGCAGGTCCAGTCCCCTTCTCCCTTCGCCCAGGCTGTCAGGACCTGTCCTTAGTGCATGTACTGGCTGTTTGGAACTTTGGATCCTCCTATTTCTGACTCTCCCTCTCAACAGCTATGGGATTGCAGGTGCATTTTATGCACCAAGTTTTTACATGGGTGTTGAGTACTTGAACTCAGGCTCTCACAGTTGTACAGCAAGTGTTCTTCTGACTAGGCCATCTTCCCATCCTCCAAGAGGACATCATTTTTTATTATTTAATTTATTATTTATTTTACAGCCCGAGCACCATTGTCCCTTCCCCTATTCTCCCATTCCTTCCCCCAATCCACCCCTAATATACTCCTCTTCTGTTTCTGTTCAGAAAAGGGCAGGCCACCCATGGGTATCAACAAAGTATGGCATAGCAAGTTGCAGTAAGACTCAGTACCTCCTCTTATGTTTAGGCTGGGCAAGGTGACCCGGTATGATTGAAATAGGTTCCTTCCTAAGAGCCAGCAAAATCATGGAGAACAGTCTCTCCTCCCATTCTTAGGAGTCCCACAAGAGTACAAAGCTACACAACTGTCACATATATGCACTGCCTAGGTCAGTCCCATGAAGGCTCCCTGGTCATTGGTTCAGTTTCTGTGAGTTTCTACAAGCCAGGCTAGTTTTTTTTTTTTCCTGTGGGTGTTCATGTGATGTCCTTGACCCCTCTAGCTTTTGCAATCCTTCTTCTCTCTCTTTCCCAAGATTCCCTGAGCTTGGCCTAATATTTCAGTGTGGGTCCCAAGAGAATATCTTAATTAGGTTATTTAGAGTGTACACTAAGAGATGGGTTCATAATTGGGTAGTGAAGAAAGGTATGCTGTTGTTGGTTTTTTTTCTCTTTTTACTCTTTTGACTCTTTTGGGGGTCCACCACCCAGCTCCCAAATAAATACACACAGAGGTTTATTCGTTCTTGGAAATGTCTGGCCTTGGCTTGACTTATTTCTAGCCAGATTTTCTTAACAAATTATCCTGTCTATCTTTTGCCTTTGGGCTTTTATCATTCTCTATTTTGATAAGTTTTAGGCCTACTGAAGGCCTCTCCGCCTTTGCAACAAAACAAATCAGACCAAATTGGAAAGCCCAGGTTTAAGGGTTAAAGCCCTCCCAGGTGATTCTCTTGCCCCACAGAGAGGAGAAGGGGACAAGACCGGAGGAACCATGAGTCTGTTTTTGGGGATGCAGCTTTATCCCCTGTGGGAGTTGTCCTGAGCCTCTCTGGAGTAGGAGCTATGTTTGACATGGCTTTGAAGGGGTGTGAGGTGGAGCTCCTACTCTAGACTCTTTGGGTATAGGGATGCCAGGGTGCAAGGGTGCCAGGGGTTGAGGTGGAGCTCCCATCCAAACATTCCTGACTCTTTGGGTATAGGAACGCCCATTCAAGTCTGACTACTTCCTTTGGGCATGGGGTGATGTGGGGAAGAGGATTCAGGAATTGGTGAGCTCATAATCAGCAGGAGCATCTGATTAATTGTCATGCTGGAGACCTGAGGAATCAAAGAAGGCAAGTTTGTAGGAAAAAATAGATTAACATCTGCCTTAGTTGTACTATAACGATGAATGTATAGAGCAGAAGAGCAGATAGGCCCTTTAGTGGGACATCTTGGAAAACTGGAGGGTGGAGGGTCCCAGCTGTTGGACAGACCATGTATCCTGAATAGGTGCCCATTTGAGCCTGGAGAGATGGTACCAGCATGGATATCCCAGGAGCTTGGCAGCCGAGGGGTTGGTGAGGATCATAGTATAAGGTCCTGTCCACTGGGGCTCAAGAGACTTAGGAGCTAGCTGTTTGAGGAGTACTCTGTCCCCTGGGGAGAGTGAGGCAGGCTCAGGGGCAGATGGGTCTGTTGGTGTTGGGGCAGGGAGATACCTGTCAGCATGTGAATGGAGAAGGGACCTCAGAAGAGAGAGGTAGGGGAGGTACCTGGACATTGGGGGAGTTTGGGCTAGGAGGTGGTGATTGAGGAGGAAGGGCCTTCTGTAAAGGAGCTCAAAAGGGCTCAAACCTGTAGGAGAGCATGGGGTGGCCCTGAGGCATGTAAGGGCAATGGGGAGAAGGAAGGGCCAAGATAACCTGAGTTCAATGCAGAGCTTGGTGAGTTGTCATTTGATGAGTCCATTGGCCTTCTCAACCTTTCCTGAGGATAAAGGTGTCAACCATAGTTAGGAGGTAACGGAGTTCTTTAGGTATGGGCATGTGAGTGAAGTCCACCTGCCAATCCTCACCTGGTTGATGTCTTTGAAGGTGGTACAGAGGCTGACATATCTGGAGGGGTCTTTGGCTGGACCTATGAAATACTCAGGAGCGTGTGTGGGCCAAGGTAAGTGTGACCCCAAAAAGGCTGAGCACATTGTGACTAAGCAGAGGTGCAGGGCAATTAGGTCACCCTGGAAAAATACAGGGAAGTGTCAGGGTCTTAAGTGGGAAGGAAGGGATCCCATCCACCCCATGACAGAAATTAGTGAGGGAACTGTAGTACCTGAGTGAGATGTCAAAACAGAATAGACAGCTCCCATGTCCAAAAGAAAGTCAATGGACTTACCTGCTGCCTGCAGTGTCACCCTAGGCTCAGAGAGGGCAATGGGAGTCAGCAGGTCTAGGCAGGGTCAGTTCTCCACCAGGCTTAGGAGTTCTCAGTTGCCGGAGTTGGTGAGGCTGGACTTCCATGGCATGGCATGGAGGATGGGCCTGCCTGGGAGCATTCTGATTTCCAATGTCCAGGTTGTCAGCAGACAGAATGGCCTCCTAGGTGGCTGGGGGTCAGGGCAATACTGTGACCAGTGGCCCTGTTTTTTGCATTTGAAGCCAGTTTTTGGCAGAGTTGACTTGGCCTGAGCTCCAGTGAGATGGAGCCTCATATCCGACTTCCCTTATACCCCTTTGTGGGGGGCCTTGGTGGCCTCAGAGCAGCTGCTAAGGCTTGGGCTTGGAGCATATTCTGTTGCAGCCTTGTCTGTCAGGTTGACTCGGCTGTCATTCTTGAGCCTTAAAAACTTTAAAAGCCAATTCCTGTAGGGGAGTTTGGGAATCACCTCAGCCTTTTTTAATTTTTTGTAATATCTGGCACTGACTGAGAAATGAAATGGGTGGGAAGGCAGGAGTCTGGGGAGACCTAGTAGGGGGAAGCAGTGGGGGGAGGGGAGGAAAGGAAGGAGGGTAAGGGGGAGGAATTTGGTCTTAGATTTGTGGCCCCAGAGGAGGGGGGTGGGTAGGTAGAGTTTGGGGGAAGTGGAGGGAGGGGTCAGTGTCTCCAGCAGTGAATGGGCTGGTGATGTGAGACATTGGCCACATTGGCCCTTGCAGGGAGCCCGGAAGCAGAACCCAAAAACTATAGGGCAGTTCTGTAGCCCTATTTTGAATAAATTTTGTAAAAGACCCTGCAGGGTGTTTGGGGATCAGGTTTTGAATGGCAAGTGCCATTTCTCAAGTCTATGCTAGCAACCCCAAAGCCTAGCACAATGCATCCATTGTGGTAAGTCTTGGGTCAAAAAAAAAACAGGGGGTGTGTGGGAAAATCCCTTCAACAGAATGTCTTCTGGAGAAGGGGTCCCATGTAACAAAAGCAGCCCTTTGCTCTGGAATGGATCAGGTGGAGCAGAGGCAGCCCTGTGCTCCAGAATGGGTTGGTGGCCTAGCATGGCTGCATCTCTGGCAAGACACCCTGAAAAACGAAGAGGCCCTGGGTCTTCTAGGCAATGACTTGAAAGGCAATCTTACCTAGCCAGGAGCCGATCTCTGTCTGGCAGAGAGCAGGTATGGAGGAGAGGAGTGTTTTTCCACCATGTGACCCTGGGCCAGTGGGGAAAAATCAACCCCCACTCCACCTTGGTGGGACCGCCAGATGACAAGTTTTAGACCTGCTGAAGGCCTTTCCACCATTGCAACAAACCAAATTA